TTGCATCATTGCCAAAAATGGCCTTTTTTTGATGGCCATAAAATAAAGAATCCAAGGTTCAGCTAAGGATGTTTCCGAGAGACTCTGCTTGTCCGGATCTGTGGGCAGAAATGGCTACGCATTTTTGAGGCAGCTCATGATATGTCAATCGGCACTGCGATGGAAAACCAAACCACTGTATGTGGGTATATGTGGGTGTTTCTTAAAATGAGGGATCCCAAAGTCACCACAGGTTTCAATGCTAATATATGGTCTAATTTTGGATGATTTGGGGTACCGGGGTACCCACCATTTTTGACACTTCAGGAAATCTCCATATTCTCTGAAAATTGGGGGAGACACCAACATTACCCTTTTTCGATGAAGCATGATGAAGCACATGATGATGAACCCTGGCATTAGAAGGCTCCAACTTTTGACAGCCCAATAGAATATGTAAGAATTGTGAACTCATAATTTGCTGCAAATCAAACGAAGGCGCAGTCAACTTAACTTGGATAATCAAAGTCTACAAGATGAAAAACTTGATCTGTGGAGCTCGCGGTTGGGATCCGGCAGTGCAGGAGGAGAAGGAGGAGAAGGACGAGGAGGAGAAAGCAACTCTGATAAAATCTAGAGACCCTCCCCTGGCAGGTGGGAAACATATTCCATTGATATCCCACAATAGCCCATGATATCCCCATATGTTGATTGATTGACTGCCTGACAGACAGATAGATATACCCTCTAGTTATTTAACGCAGCTATAGAAAATCACCATTATTAATAGGTAAAGCATCTATTCCAATGGGCCATCTATACCATGGCTATGTTAGTCATAACCAGAGGGTAAATCCCATGAAATTACCAGTAAATCCCACTAAATCCCATTAAACCATCATTGAATCACCATTAAACCACCATTAAATCACCAGTAAATCACCATTAAATCACCATTAAACCACCATTAAATCACCATTAAATCACCATTAAATCACCATTAAACCACCAAAAATTGTGCTAGTCATGACATGTTTCGATCCCTTGACCCCATCTGCTTTTCCTGCGGTCAAACCCAGCAGGTCACCGTGGTGGAAAACAGCACGGGAAACCTCAGTTGGGTCAGGACTTACATTTATGGCGCTGAAAGAAATGGCCCCTTATTAAACCCACCAAAAAAAAACTTAGATCGACATTGAAACACCAACAAAAACATAGACATTGGAAGATGCAAATATTATATATATACTATATACATGTATACACATACATTATTCAACCATAATATTCAACCTCTATTTTTCGTGACTAGAGCACCAGAAAATCTGTTGATCTCTGCGGTTTTCTGCTGTTTTTTTTGTTGGGCCAGGCCACGACACCACGACATCCGCAACTTAAGCCGCACCAGCCTTGTTTTTGGCATCCTCAGCGCGCAAGTTGGCCATGGGCAAAGAATCCACTGGGCAAACTTACGCATAGTTGGAACAGCAAAAAAAACGGAAGTAACTAGAGCCAGTACCAGTAAGTTAAGATGGAACTTGGATGCAACATGATTGCGAAAATGTGGATCGTGGAAGTTATGAATAGCTATCAACTTAGTGACCTCAGAGGTCATTCATCATTTGAGCTTCAGCCAAGGTTCATCCTTCTTTCTTCCTGGGTTGCCAAGGTTTGACCAACAGCCAAAGTCGGCTACCTTCTTGTGATCTGATGGCTATAGTGGAACATCTCCCCACGTTCACAAGGCAAGAGTCAACTACCCGTTGTTTATTTGTTTTTGCAGGGTTCAGGAGTAAGGAGGACAAAAACAGTGAGTCATACTTTGCCAATACTTTGCAACTTCGTGGGTTTCTCCCCCAAAAGAAGTTCAGGAGGAATGAAAAAAGTAAGAGGCAGCACTGCTCAAAGGATGACCTTGGCACTTCATGGCCAGTCCAAAAAAAACAGCTGCAACCAAGGTCTTCCAGAATCAATCTAAAGGACAATTTAAACAAGGTCTAATGTGGCAAACCCGATCAGAAACCTACCACTTACACGTAACAATGGTTGATATCACTGATTTCCAAGAAAATTGGGGGTGGTTTAAGGTCTAGGGTTTAAAATGGTTATATAAGTTATATATATATAAATTATAGGTTTATCATCGTAAATTTCAACACTGGATCCTGGCCCGTGTTTCATGCCTCCGGCAACTTGATGGGCTATATGAAGTCGTAGTTTGGCATCAGCTTTCACGTTGCGGGGAAAATTGGCCTAGGTCAGCGCTGAAGTCGCTGTTCAGCTTGACCGGGTTCCTGGAGAATTTTTAGGGCCCCATGTGTTATTTCGTGAGACCCAAAAAATTAGAACGGCAAAATTTCAGGAAAATAGTCTAATTAATTCCTGTTCTATCTTCTTGGGGGTTCGGTAATATGATTAATTTGTTTGAAACCGCTGGGTTAGTGTTAGATCATTGGATCCATGAATTGGGGCGGGATCCAATTTTTGGGTGGTACGGTGGATGCTATCCACAGTATTTCATATGGGGGGTGGATGGGAGCATCCGGAATCATAGCAGCTCCATCACAACTTCCGGTATCACATCCGTCGACTATAAGATCCTTCAACCTGTCCACATCCTGTGCACAAAAGGGCCATCCTTTCCCCAGGTCTACGGCAAGTAAGAAACATCGTGGTTTCGGAGTCTTCAAATAATTGTCTCTCGAAACCAAACACATACAGAACAATAAACGTATGTTTGTCTAACGATGTTGGGGAAAAACTCCAAATCCCGTGGTTCAGAACTTTATTGTCACATTGTTTTCCCGAAAATGGCCTACGGTCATGGCCCAACTAACAGTTATAAATTCAAGTATAACTCCTATGAGGTGATCATTATATCATTCTGGGCCCATTAAAAAAAAAGGAGCGCCAACTTCCCACCAAGGCACCAGCTCAGGGAGCCCTGTGGACAGCAGCGTCTTCTGCCACGCCTTCTCCCCGTCGTCCAAACATGCCGTGGCCGTGACAGATAGGCCATCGCCGCCCTCGGAGCGAGGGCGACTGGATAGAACGGCATGTATGGGGATCGTTATATATATATATATATATATATCTGTGTGTGTGTTTAATGTGCGTTACTTGAAAACTATGCTATTATCGTTATTCTTTCGGGGTATTGTTTTAAATATGTGTACATATATATATAGTGTATGCATGCGTGTGTGCGTCCATGTGCAGAGAGAAATGATGAGAAATGCAGCACATATGCATATTGGATACACAAAGACGTATGGTATGGGTGTTTAAGAAGATACATGTTCAAGAGTAAAATGTATGGAATCATTTGCATGTATGTTTTTTAACGTTCATCTCTCTCTCTCTCTCTCGAACAGCACTGTCTCTTTCTCCATCACCATCTCATTTAGTGAGACTGGTAGAGGCAAAGGCGAGCATCATTGAGCCATACCGGTTACGCAACAATTAAATGCACCTCTTCCTTCGAGGCGTGGTAGGTCAACGATCCCTTTCGGGGGTCTTTCTGCCCTTCTAGGATTCCCATGACGAGTTTGAAATGCCATCCATGGTGCGAGGCAAAATAGGACTTCCCCTCTTCCAATCTAACCCGGCACTGAGACATATCATGACAATTCATGACATATCTGGATGATTCTGGATGCAAATCATCATAACTCTACATGAAATCTACAGGAAATCCTGATTTCCTCGGGGTATCTTCCCATTTTGGGACCAACCGCTGCTATCTCCAGCGTTTCGCTCCCAGTAGCTCCAACTGTCTCCAAAGCTCGCGCCCTGCGGCAAGGGGTGCTACCTGTTCCATTTGCGATATGGATGTACATATAATAACACTATATATATATATGTGTGTGTGTGCATTTATTTATATATTATGTTTTTATTATTTTATTTAAATAATACATATGCATGCATACCCAAATCGAAAATGTGTGTGAATAAATGCACACGTATACACTTATGTAAGTATGTGTGTATATGTGATGAACTGTGAAGATATGTATGTCTGTATGCATCTCTATATGGACATAAATCATAAATCATCATAAATCATTAAGTGCCTAGCTAATCTCAGAAAGAACCCGCTCAAAGGAAGCAGCCGCGAAACAACCCCACAAAATCATAGGAGGATGTCCTTACTGATCATAACTTGTGGTGGCCGGTCCACCGAAGATATTGATCGCGTAAATAGCTTTAACCTGCCTAAATCAAATTCTAACCTAGACCTGTACCAATCAAATATATAATCAAATTCCAATTGAAACATATTGAAACCACGGTTTCCGCAAAGAACAACAACAAGTCTGTATAGCCCAGGTAATTGCCTACAAATGAGATGATACATGCTGCACATTGCAAATTGTTCATGTTTGAGACATTGGAGATCATTGGAAATGAGAGGAAATCGGCACATTTCCAAGCCTCTTTTTGTCCAACAACTGTGTCTGTCAGAGAAAT